CCATGCATGTCCTCTGGCTCAATCCCTGGCTGCATTGGGGTTAGGCTCTGCTCTTCGTCCTTCCCATTACAAGTGGGGCTTTTCCATAGGCACATCCCCACTGCGCTCATCTCATCCAGACAACATCCCTCCAATGGAACACACAGTGCAGTTGTCAACTTTTACATGGAATAGCAATGTCACCAGGTGGAAAACACTGACACAATGCAAACGTGACTTGAGGAAACCATCCCCTTATTCCTCTTCCAGAACAGGAAGATCAGACAGGACCTGGGAGCTACTTAAACATCTTCCTACTGAAGTCCATCACTGCATAAGGCCTGTGCGTGGCTCTACCTCTCCCAAAGAGCCATGCTCAATGGTTGGCCAAAAGGAGCCGACTCTTTCTAGTATGCTCAAGGGACTGGGGACCTAGAGTGCAGGGGCTGGCGTAGGGCTCCAAAGAGCCCTGGGTCAATGTCTATCCTAACAAATTTAGAGGTTCCCCCAGTTGCTTCGACTATGTGTCTGTGTCCTGGATGACTTGCCCTGGGCCAGCCAGCCCTCTCCCAGGTGCAAGGGATGGCCCCAGCGTGGATTAGGCCACCTTGCTGGGGAGTATGGCCTTAGGGGTTGCGCTGTGCCTTGCCACTTGAGTTCATGGCTGGAGAAGAGGCCCTGGCCCTATCTAGGATGCTACAGGACTCTAGGTCCTGCCTTTGGCCCCCTCCCTTACACAGAGGAGTCCCCACTCAGCCCCAGCAGCACAGGGTCTCAGGATAAATCATGGGGGAGAGGTGTCTCTAGTCCCACTCCCTGCTCCAAGCAGGGTCAGCCATGGGGTCTGACCGTCTTGCTCAGGGTTTGATTTAGTCTGGTGTTGAAAAGCTCAAAGGATGGAGATGGCAAGACCTCTTGGGACACCCTGTGAAGCCACCCTGTTGCCCCACTATCAACCCAAGGGAGCCTCAGCGCAAGGTGCCCCCCAGCATGGCCAGATCCATACCACCCTTCTGGTAAGGCTTCTCCTGCCCAGTTCAGTACTGGGCACATGGCCCCCAGGGCTCCCTGGAAGCCAGAGCACTGAGACATCACGTTGTCAAGCAGAGTGATCTCCTTGAGGGTGAAGCATCCTGGCTAAGTCCCAAGAGTGGTGAGAGCTCCCTTCCCACCAGCGCATAGCCTTTAACAAGCAAAACCCCTTTCCGCAACCCACAAACCTTCTCTGTAGATCGGACTCAAGACTCACACCAAAGGAGGATATGGTGAGGACTAAGACTCAAATCTTGCTGGCAAACACTCTTGCTGTCAGTCCTCCCAACCTCACGTTGGACTAGATGACCTTTAAAGGTCCCTTCCAACCCAAACTGTTCTATGATTCTATGTTCCCCCATATATAACCCTTGTCAGTGGCTGGTGGGCCTGGGTCCAAATCCATCCCAATTAGCCCCGAGTCAACCCAAGCTTTAGCTACCTTTCGGTTTTGTCTCCGGAGTTGGTCCTATCTGCCAGACACTCAGCTTTGCCCCGGCACAATCTGCACTCACAAGTATTTTCTTTCTCTAATTTGAGACTAAGCCTAAGCCTGGCATCCATTTGGAGCTGGAAATGTATTTCCCACCGAACGCTCAAATGTCAGTTGAGAGCAAATCAGCTCCAAGGCAGCTCACTCATCTCACCAGACAGAAGAACCATGAGCAGCAGTCACACACTCACAGCAAGGGATACACACTTTTGGAGACGTCTGCCTCTTAAACCACCAACTTAGTCATTTTAAAGCTTAGGGAGAGCTTTGAGCCATGGCCCTTCATGGTACTTCATAAAAGTAAATACTGAGGTCATGATGCCTATCCCACAGACAACCTTTCTCCACGAGCGTGCACACACACACATGCAAGCACACCCCTTTTCTTAAATGGGATTGCAGAGCTGAAGAGCAGGCTCTGACATGAAGACTCAAGCCACTTTGAGAGCAATTAAAATGAATCATTTGCAATGTTCTCTGTTTCCTAAAATATCTATTTCTAACAAAAGAATCAGTCATACTTGAGCATCCAAGTATAGAGTGGACGCGATAAACTCAATGCCTTCAGGACAAAGTTCTTGGCAGCCTGTGTAATTAAACCAGCTGCTTTTCAATATGGTTTAAGAGTAAATACTGCACAAACATTAATCATCAGGGACTGCTGTAATTGGCTCGGCAACCGTCAGGAATGATTATTTCCACTGCAGCCATTGATTACTTAACGGCTTTCAGGAGGGGTTGATATAGTCATGTCTATATGGCAATGCATGGAGTCTATAGGCTGCTACTTAGTTTGAAGGGGCTCTTTGCTGGGTGCTCAGCAGAAAAAAAAAAATAAATGGAGGAATATATCTGTTTCTGGGAAAACACAGATCTCACTGCAAAGCAAGGAGGGACCAGCAACCAATAGTTGCAAAATAGCTGCTCTTGGGCTGTCTTGGTCCTTGGTCTGCCAAAAGCAAAGGGCCAGTTACTGGGGATGCTCATGAAAGCAAATCATCAACACAGGAGGGCTGAGCCTGGGAAAAGAGCTGTCCCACGCCAGTGCCTGCCCCATGAACAAATATAGACATTTATGGCACATGGAGAAAAAGGACTGGTTTCTCCAGTACCACAAAGGCCTTTTCCAATCTTAATTAACACTTTGGATTAAATGCGGAAGTGGGCACTGGATGCACTTAGTCCCAGAGCAGAAGCACAGGGCACCAACTCAGCAAAACATGTCCCAACCCATTCTGTTGACTCTCGAGCCACTGACCATCAGAAATGACTACTGCTGCTGCCTCCCCCTCGCCTGCCCACTTTCAGGGCACTTTTGGGACTTGCTGAGCTCCCTCATCTCCCATCTGGAGAAAAAGACTCAATCCAAGCATGGTTTAGGACTTGATTTCTCCAGGCTTTTGGTCCAGTTCAAGATTTTTTTGGCCTGGAGCTGGGCTCAGTTTGATCTCGAGAATAGTTGCACTGTTTTTCTAAGGCAAATGCAAAGCCGCATAAAGGGCTATTCCCAAAACTGCTGCTGCAATCCACCGTGGAGGTGGCTGAGTTTTAGTGTGATAGGAGGAGAACAGCACAATTTTGGCAGGGAAATACATCCAGCGTGCACCGTAACCCTTCTCCCCCAACCTCATCTTCCTCTGTGTCCGTCTAGCAGTTTAGAGGATTGAATAGGAAAAAAGTCAGCTTCCCGCTTGAGTCACATTTGCTTTTTGGTGGGAATGGGGAGCTCAATCCCAGCTGGGTGAGCACACACTTCAGTGGGCTCTGGATCAGGCCCAATGTTTAGTGTCCCCTGAGGTAAAGTGTTGAAAGGGGCTATAGAAATACAAAGCGCTGTACTCTGGTCTTCATTTTATTATCTCACCATGCAAGCGTGCAAGCCCCCAACAAGAGACAAAGGCCCTTGCAGGCTGTAACACACTCCCCGATTTTCAGAAAGCATCTGGCTGTGCTAAATCTTCCCCTTTGGGTATTTTTTTTTTTCTCCTAGATGATCGTTATTTTACCATGAGCATTAGGATATTTGCTTCATTATTCCTGTAAAAGGCCAACGCTTCAATGTCTTAAAAGGTTCGTCAGAGCTTTTCCATTAATATCCTTCCCTTTCATGGCACATGAGAAGAAAATATAAATGTATTTTACCAGCACACAGCCCTTAAGGGACTGGTATCCTATCCCTGCGTGGGTGACGTCTGGCCCTTTCCAAACTCAGGCCAAGCTTAAACAAATGTGTTAACACTTAAGCATCAATAATCAATACAACTTGGTGGTGGTGGTGGAATGTAGAGCCCGTGGTGTTGGGAGGGGTGCAGCTTGCAGAGAGAATAGCTCCAGCTATTTAATAAATATTATTACCTAATCTTTCTAACGTCTCCTTCGTTTGGCTCTCGGTTTGCGGTTGGCCTGTTTATCCCTGTCAGCGCTCACTGTCTGGCAATCAGGCTGCTCCGTGGCAATCATTAGTCCTTCCTGTTTTCATGAGATCATGAATTATTATCTCTGCAACAAACTGCCTCTTCCTTCTCGGCTCTCTGCGCCTGGCAGCTGCCTGGGGAGCGATCCCAAAGCTTGGATGTGTCAAGAGTGCTGGCAAGGGGCAACAGCAGATTCCCATCCATAATTAGAGCCTAGGGTCGTAAACGTCAACAAGCCCCATTTCTGTGTTGAAGAAACATTGCTGAAGACGGGGAGAAAATATCTAGTCCAGCCCTTTGCACCCACCACAAACCAACCATAACGCTACATTAAAGCTAATATTGAAACACCTTGCCCTGACTCTCCTGACCAGCCTCTTCCCAAGCCTAAGGCCTCACCATCAAGCAACATTTCAATTACTCTGTCTCTTTCCTCCAAGATACACCCCACTGGACCTCCTCACCCAAGACCAACCTCTGCAGTACAGCATCCGCCTTCTCCCGGTCCTCGCAGCAGCCTCCCACTCCCTTTTTGTTACTCATCCTTGTGCCAGTCCAGATATACAGGGTCTCCAGAGCCTCCCTGTGCTCCTCATCCTCAACCACAGAGCTTCTCATGACAGCCAGGGATGTAGGACTCTCACTATAGGTTTCTTTTGGAGCTACAAAGGGCAGATTTTGGTTCTTAGGGACAGATTCCCAGGCAGTTTCAGATAGGCAGTGGGTCAGGGCTTAAATTCTGCCATCCAAAGAAAATCTCTCCAGACCATTGACTTTGAGAGATGCTGGAGAGCATCAACAGCAGAAGACACCCCAACAAACTTGGCTGTTTCACGCATGCACGCATGTGTGTGAGCATGTGCTGGCACATATGTGTGTGTGTATGATGGGGCAAGTCCTGGGCTTCTAAGTTAGCTCAGTGGGACAGTCTGGATGCTCTTCAAGCTCCTAAAGGTTAACAACCACAACCAAAACCATGGGGGCTGTCCCGCCAGGAGGAGCATACCCCTCAGAGGTTTTGAACGTATTATTTACAAGAGATGGGACAACACAAGTGATTTCAAAAGGAACGCTCCTTGCTCAGTTTTGGGACTGGGAGGAGGCAGAGAAGAGGGCAACCATAAGGAGTGGGGAATAAGAGCTGGGGAATGACGTCCTATGAGAGATGCTGTGAATCTGCATGGCAACAGTTTGGGGGTACGGTATGGAAGAAGACGGGGAGAGATGATGCAGTGTTAGCACATACAAGGTGGCTTTAATAGCTGTAAGCAAAAGATGTGTAGGGTGAAACCTGGTATTGCTAAGTCGAAGCTCCTGGATAGCGCATCCAGCAGCTAAAGCACAAACCTAGCCACCGAACATAGTTGGTCTTTATCACTGGCAAACAGTATCCGCCAAGTCTTCCCCTGAAATTAAGTTTCTTTTTGCCATAAAAGAAAAAAAAAATAATAATGAAGACCCCCTCCCCTCCGCAGACAAGTCTTAGAAGCCCAGCCCAAGTGGAGCCGGCAGCCCGGCAGTGCCCCAGAGGGGGAAAACCACCGAGACATTTGCCTGTTTCGCCGCCTGCCCCAAGCGCTACTGCTTCGTGCTCTTGGTGGGCTCCGAGGACTGCCGCACATCAGTCCACTCCTGCATGGTGCTCTGCAGCGCCTGCGTCTTCTCCTTGTCCACTTGCACATAATCAACCTTCTCGTCCGAAGCGACCGATGAGGTGGAGGGCTGCAGGGAGAAGAAACACGGCCACCGCCTGGTCACTCATCAGCTCCCTGCTTTTCCCTTCCTGCAGTAGCACTGTGGGTGCTGCAAGTCCACTGGCACCTCCCCTGCTTTCTTGCAGACTCCACAGCTCAACACCCTCCCTCTAACCTCCCAAAAGGTCTTGGATGAAAGATTTCAGTCTGCTCTGCATCTTGCTTGCATGAGACTGCAGTGCAACAGGAGTGCAGAAATAGCACCCAGGTCTCCACCTTCCCACCAGCTCTGGGACACGAGTGTTTGGTTGCAGATGTGGTATCTAACTGCTGATATTGCAAATTCGGAGTTGCATCTTGCTCATTTTCTTGTAAAGAACTCAAGAACTCTTATAGATACACACAAAAATCCCAGCTCCATCCCTTCTTAGCTGTGCTGACTCTACACACCTATGGCACTAGTTTATTTTCATCCCCAAAACAACAGGTATACTGTATCTGTATACCGTAAAGAAAGAGATACTTTTTTTTCTGTGGTTTCTTGAGTCCTGGAACTTTGTCTGCCTCTACAAGCATTTCAGAGGACCCCCCAGCGGCTTGCAACTGAAGCCAGATGAGTTTTTTTTTTAATGGTCTAAAATGACCTTTCCAGGTTGGGATATAATTTAAATTGGTAGTATCTGCAGCAATATTGCAGGGCAGAAAGAAACAATCAAGGGACAACTGTCAAATAATAAAAAGACCTAATCAGTGGGATGCTTTGCCTTGGAAACAAGGTGGTGTTTGAGAAAGTTAAGGCCAACTCACAGGTGGTCCCCTTTTCCTTCACCATCCCCTCGTTCAGGTGCTGCTTTGCTTGAGATAGTCTCTCCTTCCCCTTCCCAGTCTGCTCAGGGTGGCACCCAGCAGGACCTGCTTTTGGTCCCTCCCCAGCCCACTCTGTCACCCCCAGCTGTCCTCTTCATCTTGATATGTGGCCTTGCTGGGGAGGTTGTGAAATCTCCATCATATGAGACTTTTAAGCCTCATCTGTCACCTCAGGAGAGATGGTTTCCTTTGGATGTGGGGATGTCCTGAGGTCCTCCCTTGCCCTATTTTCCTACAATTCACTATGTTTGCTTCCCCTGTGTATGAACCTGGAGAAAAGTCACCACCATCTGGGTCTTTAGGAGCTTCCCCTTCCACATTTCCTCAGGACACTTGGTAGAGGCATTCCATTCCATACCCATCTTCTCCCCACAGCTCTTTCTCACCAGGCAATGGCTTGGTCAGCTCAACATAATCTAGCTTTTAAACATCAGTTTTACTTTTTGAAAGCAGTTTGTACTTTTCCTGCCCAAACGGCACCCTTAAAAGCACCTGACTGGCAGGAGACAGGTGCCCAGCATTTTCTGAATGAGCTCCTGAAAGTATCTCCAGTGGAAAACCCAAGTCTGGTTTTGGAGAACTTGTTGTTCTGGAGGAGGTAAAAAAAAAATAAAAAAAATCTGATACTTCTTGGAATATCTCCTGACATCTTGGGAATATACAATCTCCAGCTGAATTTCTGGTCCAGCACAAGATTTCCAATCTCCAGCTGAATTACCGGTCCCATCAGCATCCCTGAACCCCTGCACATCCAGGCTTCTGGTAACGCTTCCAGCAAAGCTGCAGACATGCAACAGAGACCGACTCTGACCTAGAATAAATATAGCAGCGGATCTGCAGGAAAAATCACGCCTCTGAGCTTACTGTGTCACTTAACAACCCTGCCCAGGGCTTTGGACCATGCTGCTGCCAATGTGCATAAAAACCCTTAAAAAACTGCATCACTTTTAATCAGAAGTTTATAAAATGCCCCGTACCTTTCTGTGTGGCCCCGGTGAGCTCGGCTGGAAGTCCAGGGCCAGATAATCCACACTCCCTGAACTCTTTTTAGGCGCTGGGCTGTTGGTGCCACTAGGAACAGGAGAAGCAGAAATGGGGTTTTGCTAATGCAGGGAAGAGACAGGAGAAATAAGGAGGATTAAAATGGGAAGAAAGTCAAAATGGAATCAACACAAATCTGGCAATGAAATGCCTCGGTGGCACTTTTAATAGAGGTCACAGCCTGGGTATTTGCTCACCTGCCTCTGGGACGGGGCGTGCAGAACCTCTGAGGGACTATAGATATTGTATATTGAGCTAACATATATTTCAAGCTCACACTCTTGATTTTATGTATCGGGGCAGTTCTGCTGCCTTTGTGCTGATTTTGCTCGCACGCCTGACATCAGACATGGGCTTCAGCATTTCCCAGGAACCACACCTCAGCAAGGCCAGCCCAGCCCTGGGATCTTCACTAATCCCAACCACGCTACGCAGAGCGCAGATTTCCTCTACCCCCTTAGTTACACAGCCTCAAAAATATGCTTCAAGTCAGCAGCTTTGCAAAGAGAGACAAAATCCCCTCCCTGTAAGGGCTGCCACTCCCTGCTGCTGCTCTGATAGCCCCTGCCCTCCACACAAACATGATGTCAGCAGCTATTAGGGGAAAAAAATCCTGAAAAAAATCAGCTTAAATTAGGAAAATACACCCTGACAGCCCATAGATGTTTTTATCCCTTCTTAATTCCTGGCAAAGTAGTTGATACATGTTTCTGCTCTCATATACAGTTAAAACCCCAATGGGACATGTCATTTTAGGAATGAAAGCCCCTGTTGCGCTCATGTAGGGATATACATAAGGGTGTACACCACACAGTGCTATCTGAGCACTTCCATGTCATGAGCCAGGAATGTGTTTGCAGAGCTGGGGAACGTATATGTCCTTGCCAGCACCATATATCTTAGCTGTGGGGCCCTTACCATCGCCACGTAGTTCTCCTCGCTGTCTCCCGAGTCAGTGCTGGTGATGCTCTGGGAGGAGACAGGGCGACAGTATTGCAAAGAGCCGGCGTTGAAGCTCTGGCTGTAAGAACAAGGGTCAATGTGTTAGTGATGGCTGCAGGTGCTGCTTGTCCATTGCCAAGGAAGAATGGGAGAGGGCAGCACCTGATGCATTCAAACACCACCATGCTCAGATCTGGGGACCGGGCATGAAGAAGAACCGGCAGCACTGATGTTCTCCAACCTGACCTTCCCACGGGTCAGAAATCACTGGGTTTGGTCTTCTCATTTTTTTCTTTCTAGGATGTTTTAATAATACCTTGCTTTGCTATCATAGAATCATAGAATGGTTTAGGTTGGAAGGGACCTTGAAGATCATGTACCCATAACTCTCCTGCTATCAGCAACATAAATTAGGGTCCGTGAACTCTTCTATCTCACAGGAAATATTTGATTGTGGAGGATGCAGGGCCAACCTCGGTGAAGCTTCTCACCTCCAGCCTCACTGCAGCTCCAGGATTTGTTTACCATGCAGGGTCCTGTCCAAATTTTTTGCTGAAAAACAAAATCTCCGAGGCATTGCCTTGCTTTCCATTGGCCAAATCTAATTATACCGAATAACATAACGTAATCAGCGTCTGGCATTAAAGCTCGCGTCTTAAAAAGCTATTTGTTGCCTTGCAGTAAAGGCAGGGTCATATGATTAGCTGATAAGAGAAAAATCCATTAGCTTTTCCGAGGTCGGACGTCTTGTCAATCAAACCCTGCTCGCTGTTTGCCCGTGCAGTGATTTCAGCACACAGCGCTCATGCCCTGCAGTCAGTCTCCACACAATCCAATTTATTAGAGGAGTCATAGCAGCCAGGCTTTGCTTCTGCCTTTCGTTGGACAAGATCAGACCACGAATTAGCAGCAGAGCTGGAATTGTGCGAATCCTGTTATTTTTGGCCAGCAGACTTTGCTCTGAAGTGCTTTGGTTTCATTTTGCAGGCTTCCCTTGGGCTTGGCTTTGCTTTCAAGGCAATCAAAACACACCTCGGTCAGACCCTGCGAGTGTCACCCTGCGTTGTGAGACTATGGAGAGGTTTTTTGGGGGGCAGAGCTGGATGTGAAACCGTGCCCCGTGCCCGCAATGCGGCTGAGTTGGGGTGGCTCAGCTGGGTCACGAGTCGTGGTGGGCCACAGGTCCTGTGTCAGAGCCACAGCTCTCCGGGCGGTGTCAGATCCCAGAAATAGGAAATGTCTTCAAGGGATCTTAATTAGCTGCTCGGCCACATGCTGGGCTTTCATGTGAAATCCAGACCTAAACAAATTTATCATCCTGCCACTGGCTGTGATGTGGGGACTCAGGCCTGTATCAGGAATAGTATGGCCAGCAGGACTAGGGAAGTGATCATCCCCCTGTACTTGGCGCTGGTGAGACCCCACCTCGAGTACTGTGTTCAGTTTTGGTCCCCTCACTACAAGAAGGACATTGAGGTGTTGGAGCATGTCCAGAGAAGGGCAACGGAGCTGGTGAGGGGTCTGGAGCACAAGTCTGATGAGGAACGACTGAGGGAACTGGGGTTGTTCAGCCTGGAGAAAAGGAGGCTGAGGGGAGACCTTCTCGCTCTCTACAGCTCCCTGAAAGGAGGTTGTAGAGAGGTGGGGGCTGACCTCTTCTCCCTAGTGAAAAGTGGTAGGATGAGAGGAAATGGGTTCAAGTTATGCCAGGGGAAGTTTAGATTGGATATTAGGAATTTTTTTTGCACTGAAAGGGTTATCAAACACTGGAATAGGCTGCCCAGGGAGGTGGTGGATTCACCATTCCTGGAGGTGTTTAAAAAAAGGGTAGATGTGGTACCTGGGGACACGGTTTATAAGTGGTTTTGTCAGGTTAGGTTAATGGTTGGACTTGATAATCTTAAAGGACCCTTCCTACCTCAACATAGCTGATGAGTGACCTTATAGTCATATGATTCTATGACTCCGGCTCTTAAAACTCTTGACAGAACTCAGGAGGGGTCCAAAGGAGGAGCCACTCTACTTCAACAGCATCTGACCCAGTCCTAAGTGTGACCCTGATGTGACCAAGGAAACCCCTGAACCCCAAATCACCCAGTGTGGCAGGACATTTTAGGAAAGAATTACTCTATAAATCCCCCTCTTCCCGGATAGCTCCTGCTGGTCCCTGATGGGGGTAGGATGTTGGGCAAGGTGGACTTTCAGCCCAACGCAGATGTTAGCATGGCACGAGCCAGCTCTGCAGCTCCTGTTTCTAAAATTAACAAACAACACAATGAGGGCTGAAGGGATCATCCAGCTTTTGGGGAAATTCAGCTCTGCATCCAAAGCCTGGGCTCACTTCTAGCTTGATTCAAGATGGCCCATGAGAAACATGCCCCTTTGACAAAGAGAGATGGTGGGAAACCTCTGCAGTGGGTGGAGGCAGAAGGGCAGACGACATCCCACTTACACTCAGCCAGTGATGCTTAATCCATGGCAGAGGTGACAGCATGGCTACATGTGGACACCAGTTGAGAGGGAGACCAGAGATCCACTCTCGGAACAAAGCAAGAATTCGTACCCCAACCATTACTCACGTTGGCCTGGACCAGGATTTTGTGACTGGCGATTTGAAGGGAAGCTCATCGATGACAGTGTTGTTCCTCAGGTCCAGCGGCGATGGCTTTGCTGGGGAGGGGAAAAGCCTTTATTAAGAGGTAGCATGTTCCTACAATTCAGTGTCCATGACTGGAACGAGACGGTCCCCAACAAATTGTTGGTTGCTTCCCATTCTGTTAATGAGCTCCCCAGAAGCTGTGATAACCCTTTAGATGAGGACAAGACCAGGCTCTGCCAGCCCTGAGTTGCCTCCCACCACAGCATTTCCCCATATGGAATGGGAAAGGACATCTGCAGGGTAATGTGAAAGCTCTTTTCATCATGAGTGGCTCATTAGCTGGAAGAGAAGACCACTGTGCTCCAGCCCCAGCCCTCGCCTAGCATCTTGATGGGGTTAGATGCTGACACCCTAGTGATGGGAGCCCTCCTCCTTGGCATCTCCTTGGTGACCTGTTGGGCAATGGTTTGGGGAGGGATTTAGAGGATGTAGGCAAAGCCCTGAGGGAAGAGCTGTCTAGATTCAGCCAGTAGGAAACAGTAGGAGAAATTTGGGTAATTTGAATACAACACAGAGATTTTGGGGTGGAGCATGGGGAGGGGTGCAGGCAAAGGGGGTGAGATCCTGCCTGTGACATGCATCTCCGGTAAAGGCCAGAAGGGTTTGAGATAGGTTGTTCAAGCACCACAAAAGCTGCATTTGCACCATAGTCCTCCTGAAAGAGGAAGAGGACGGGGAAAATCTGAAGGTCTGACTGTGCTGGTGGTAGCAGATCACACCCCACATAGGACTCTATTAATTGTGTGCACAAGACAACAGATGTAGTGCAAAGTATTACAAGGATAGAAAGGTTCCTGGGAAGATTTGCCCACAAACAAGCGTTCTTACCTTTCCGGTCAGGTTTGAGGTTGCGGTTGACTGGTGGGGGCTGGATTTCACTCAACCGTCTGTGGCACTGTGCCATGGCTCCTCCTTTATGCACAGGGAGGGTGGCTGAGGACAACCCCACCAGGTCAAAGTGATGCGGCCCAGGGCTCATGGGGATGTAGAGATTTTGGGCATTGTCGTTGGCTTTCTCTGTGTGGATCAGGGGTGAAGAACCGGGGTTCATGGGGACGTAGTTGTCCTCGGAGTCAGTGCTGTGGGAGCGGGCCACCGCTGCCTTGGCTTGCTGGGGGACAAGCGGGAGGACATGTTGTGAGCATCAGACACTGCTCAACCCCATCCCACTATAAACACCTTCATCTCATCATCACCGAATACACACCTGAGGTGGGACCAGCTCTAAAATCTCAGCACAGAGGGTCAGATGGTCTGTGCCCTCCTTGGCCATCAGTTTGCACTGAGAGGGTCTGCCTCCACTCTTACCAAGACATTGCAACAGCCTGAGGGAAAGGTCTTAATCGCCCAGACTTGAGCTTCTTCTCATGATCCGTGTGAGCTGTAGAAGCATGCTTAACCTGGAAAGTTATTTTTCCCTGGGCTCTGGCCATGACTAAAATGTAATATGAAAGGCTGCTTTAATGTCATTTCCAGCTCAGGAAGTTTTAGAAAGTGCACAAAAGAGGCTCTTCTGGCAACATGTCAAAATTCAGCTCAGCAGCATCCCAGGCTTGCAGGAAGAAGCCAAACTCCCGGGCGCTTTTTTTTTGGGTCAAAGCTCCAGGCAGATACACTCTGTGGAAGGACCCAAAGCAAAGCTCTGCATGCAGTGCTGGGTTAGGTGGTTGGCCCTCCATCTCTAGTCTGAAAGCCACCATGGTGTTAACTGATGCCAGTAATAAAACCCTTCTTGATTTATCTCTGCAGGACTGGGCTGTGAGGTCCCACCTGGAACTGACTTGTCTCTGAATCTATAGAAGTGCAAACAGTACCCATAGTGTGGTGGCCGATACCGAGGCCAACTCACCAGGTAGGAGTTGTACCCGTCGTTCATCGACTCGACTGACTGCACAGCGCTGCCGCCCCCGTGCTGGGGGTATTCGTACGTCTCACAAGAAGAAGCTGCAACACAACCACAAATGCACAATGCATCCCAGCGCAACTTCTAATAAAAGGGACCCCTGAAAACAAAGGTACTGGGAGGGAGGTATCTATCCTTGATGACACTGGTGGGAAGATGTGGTTTTTAGCCCATCACAGACTCCCTGCTATGCTCCCTCCCAATTAGCATCTCTCTGATGTGTCAACATAACTGCACGTGCCACACGGACCTAACCTGGTTCTGTCAAAGTGCTGCAAAATCCCAGGGGTAAAGACGTCAGATAAGGTAGATCATGGTGACAAAACTGGGTTAAGGGAGAGCTCCGTTACAGCTCGCTCAGCAGACGTAAGAGCTAGCAGCCTCCGTTAAGGGGAGGATGGGGTGAGGATGGGGTGAGGATGGGGTGCTAAGCACTTAGGCTGGTCTATCTACTGCTGAGCGTGGGTCTGATCTCAGCCTAAATGTTGGTATTTAGGTAGGAGGAGATGGAAGAGGCATTTCAGGGAGCTGTGTGTCATTTACAGTATGTTTTCTCTCCAACTACCTCTTCTAAGTTACTTTGCAACTACATGTCATCCTACGCACAAGGTTTGGAAAGGGCATGTTCATCCATGGCCCATCCATGGCCAATGGGAAGGGTGGCTCCACTGCACTGGGGATGATGGGACTTGGAAATGTGCAAAATTACGTCCCTGTCTGGTGAGCAAAATCAAGACAGCTCCAGGCTGAAGTACCTTCTGATCAACCTGATTATGAATTGAAGTAAAAGCAAGTTAAAATGGCTGAAATCACTGAAATCTGGTGAAGGGCTGCATGGGCAAGCAGGTTTGGGGGTTTGATTCAAGGCACAACACAGCCAAGAGCCAGCTGAGCAGGTCTGGTGGGCAGAGCCCTGGGGATGCCTCTCCATGCCTGTTGCAGACAAACAACAGGGCCAGATCCTGATCAGGGAGAGCTTCTTTGTGCTCAAGCCCCTGATTGATGCCAACAGCCACCCCAACCCTACCACAACCCGGTGGGACTGACCTGTCCAAGGCTGCTAGATAGGAGAAAGCCACCCCCAGCTCCCCATCCCCAAATTCACCTCGGTGCAGCCTGCTGTTCTCCACTGCTGGAAGCGTGTTTCTCCGGGGAATGGTGGCTGCCATGGTGGTCAACCCCAAGCTTTCACCAGGTTGGGGCCGTTGGGGCGGGCTGCCCCACCGCGGCTCTGTTTGCCCGGGCTTTGGGGGCCGCGGAGGTGGCGCAGTGGGTGAGTCGCTGGCGGCCAGGGCCAGAGCGTTGTGGTTCTTGTCCAGTGTAAATGTCCTGGGGATCTGGTAGACAGAAAGCGGGGTGCCAGGGATGTCATAGGAGTCTGTGGAGAGCTCTCCAAACTCCTTGCATAGGGTGTTGTTGGGAGTCTTGTAGGTGTAGACCTCCTCGTTATCTGTTTCGGAGCTGGTGAGGCTTGACTTGGGGTGGGTGTAGGAACCAAAGGCGCGTGGGAGGTCGTATGCACTGTCCCTGAACTCCGAGTTGTGCCGGCTGGGTTTTGGCAGGCTGTAAAAGCCATGGAGCTGCCCGCCAACCCCATTGACGCAGTGCCCATTGCCCTGCGAGAGCTTCTGGACCGCTGTGTCGCTCCGCATGAAGAAGGCAGACCTCGTGGCTTGGGAGAAGCTGGCACTTCTGCAGAGGAAGGAGAGAAAGGGGCTGAGATGGGGGGAGAGCTGGTTCTGGGGTGCACCGAGCTCTGCTCCCCGTGTTTGTCACCTTCCCGACCCGCATTGCCCAACCCCAGGGCAATGGGAACATCTCAGACCCATCCAAACATGCCCACAACCCATTTTTATCCTGAAACACCTTCAAAATGCATCTGTCATGGGTGGAAGGTATATGCACCCAGCTCCATGATAGGGCTACAGGCAAGAACAAGCCTTTTATCCAGACATAAATTGCTTCAAAAGGGCAATTTCTGCACCAGCTGACAGTGATCCAAGACACAGCTGTGAAGAGCCACCCCATCAGCATTGCCATCACATGTTGGCCGTCCATCCGCAGCACAGGAGGGAGGCTTACTGTCACCTATGCCTTGCAAATGTATTTGAGAGGGACTGGAAAAATTCCTGATGGGAATTATTTCAAAGCCTGCAGCCATGCCACCACCCTGCCCTCTTCTAAGGAAAGCCCTGGGGAGGTGAAGACAGTTCCCAGGTGGGATTTGGGGTTTGCCGCCCTGATCCACAGTGGAGGAGGAATGAACTTCAGGGCTGAATTCAGATTTATAAAAGCCCGTGAGTCCCCCAGGGTGAGCAGGACAGCGTGGTCACTAGGTCTATGACTTACTAATGATTCTTCTATTTGCACTGCGGTCACGCCCTGGGACACTAACCAGGACGGAGGGGAAGCATCAGGCAGACTTCAGTCCTCTAACAACTGCTTGTTAGCCACCACTCCTCTGCTGATTCCCTTCAAGGTATTTTATCTACTGTTTTATCCCTCCTACTGCTTCCTCTTTCAGCGCTCCAACATTGCAGAAGATGATGAGGCCAATGGGCTTGGCTTTGTGCACCCATAACCTCAGCAGATGACATTTTCTTGAGCCAGGGGATGCCCGAATTGGCCCCTTGGGACTTTTCTCTCCCCCATCCTCAACCCCTGCCACTATGAGGCAGGTTCCTGTCCCACAAGTCTTTGGGAGACAAAAGGATCGCTGTGGAAGTGCTGGGACATGAGGGCAAGATGTGGCAGAGCAGAGCATGGGCGATAACGATACCTTCCCCAAGCTGGCTGAAGCAGTGTGGGAGACGAAAACACAGCAAAGATCCTAAAAAGGGTTCATAGAATGATAGAATGGTTTAGGTTGGAAGGGGCCTTAGAGATCATCTAGTTCCACCACCCCTGCCATGGACAGGGACACCTCCACTAGACCAGGTTGCTCAAAGCCCCGTCCAACCTGGCCTTGAAGAGCAAGGTTACCTTGCCAAGAAGAGCTAACGCATATGCACCAGGAGAGGGTGAAAGGTAGTCTTGGGCTGGGTCTTTTTGCTCATAGAGGTATAACCATGTGTGGGTCAAGCTTTTAGGGACCACACGCTTGCAGCCAGAAAGGCCTCAGCCAGCCCCATTTAAACCTCTCCTGGTGGAAAAGGGTCCTGCCCTATATCAATCACCACGCTGGGAAAAAGCAAAATGGTTATGGAGGTGGTTTCCAGTTGCAACAAATGACTGAGGAAGTGCCAGCCCTATGGGAAAAGCTGGGAGACGCTGGTTGATGCCGCTCTGGGGGGATTGATGCTCTGCAGCGACAACAGAGACTCTGTTTCATGGAGCCAGCACGAGATGGCGCTCAGAAATAGGGCTTATTTGGGGAAAAAAACAAGTGATGCTGCCATACGACAAACGAATCCTTGCCGCCTTTGGAGCTCAGTCTGCCCAGGAGACGTTTGGGCTCTGGCAGGGTCCTTTCGGCCAAGGACTTGAAGCATCTCATGGGTTAATTATCCAGCATCACTCGCCAATTAGCTACTATTACCCTCATTTTATGGATGAGTAAAGTAAGAGCTCTGGAGCTGAAAGGAGAGGGGATTCCCAGCAGTCCTGCAGCCTGGCCCCATGCACTGGGCATCGATCGGGGGGTGATTATTTCTGGCCCAGTTGCAGAAGCTGCCGCTGGCCAGTTTGTCTCTGCAAAGCATCAGTGCTTGCTCCCTCCTTCCCAGTGTCCCAGCCGCGGTTGGGCTCTCGGCGGGTGGCTTTTAGGTAACCTCACAGCTGGAGCGTCAGAGGGCCTTTTTTTAAACACTGTTCCATTAACTCCATCTGAAGTTAATTTTTTTT